ATATATATATATATATATATATACATATCTTCCATCGTGATGAATAAAATAATTCTGGGCTAATATCATTTTTTAGACAAGGCTCAAATGATTTTCTGTATAATGTTTTTTCCTGTTAAGTTTTTTTATTCATCACTATTTAAGAGCACACTAATGAATTAATCTTAAACACAAAGACTGACATGATTGAACCTAGCAATTTAGTTGGCATTGGAGTGATGAGACGTGCTCAATATCAACACTGCTGAGTTATACAACGCTATCTGTCCAACTGTCATTTGTGTAGGTTCACATTGAATTGGGTAGCTTGATAATCAGCTTGTCATGCAGCAAAATTGTGGAACTATTTGGTGAAAAGGGATACATCCTTGGTAACTAGTGCCAGTTAAATTCTGTGTGCAGCTGATCTAGGCCATTCAAGTAAATTGTATRCATAACTATTCATTAAAACATAAATCCAGAAATGTTGACACCTTTTGGGCTAAGGTTAATGAAAAATTGACCAAAACAAAGGRATTTAAAATAAGGATGAACAATTTCAATTGATTTTTATTTTCAATGTTTAAGTTTYTTTCATTAAAATGTCTATTTTGAATCATTATTACTCTTTTTTATTTTTTCTAATAATACAGTACTTGGCCATAAGTACTCAGTCACATCTGTTAAATGTATAATCCAGGTGTTTTAGTCAATTTTTTGGGTTTTGGTCAATTAGCTTTGGTAATTAGTAACCTTAATTCTTCAGCATACTGAAAATAATAAAACATTGTGTTTACAATTTTTTGTTGATCCACTTACTGGTTAAAGTATATGATTACAACTGATCACAAAGTATAAGATAAGGCTGTATCTAAAATTTAGTTAAGCAACCACAAAAAATCCAACAATATCTTGACATTTTAGGCAACGTTATGCCTTCAACTTTGTGGCAACACTTGAGGCCCTTTTCTATCCCATCATAACTTCTCAGGGCACAAAGCAAGGATTAAAATGTCCCAGTTTGTTGAATCTGATGTGGAAAAACTTGCCTGCATAGAGCTTTAACACCAAGCCCAACAAGTATATTTGTGATGAAGTGGAATGGTAAATGCAAGCCAGAACTTATTGTCCATAGTCATTGCCTGACTTCATCAATGCTCTAATGAATGGGGCACAAATTTCCACAGGAATATTCAAACTTTTGTGGAAAGCCAAGAAGAGGGAAATTTGTTACAAATGGAAAAAGGGAGACCAACTCTAAACAGTCCCTGTTGGTGTGATGGCCAGGTGTGGTGAAATACTTTTGTCTTCATTGTGTTGTTAGAATTTGCAGTATTTGAAGTTGTAAAAAGGAGTTTTTGAATTGCATTTATTATCAAAGGTGTAAAAGTTTGCTGTAATTACAATACAGGTTCAACAATATTGCCTTCCAGAAAACCCCCCTGAAAACTCCAGTTATCAAGAGTTGGAAGTTTGTCATCCTTAAGCCATGTTTGATTTGACAACCCAGTTACCTTTTGGATAAAATACCACAAGGTCCCTCATTATGTGCTCCTCGTATAAATGCTAACCTCAGAGGGCTAATTACAACCCTAAACAATGCTAATGGATTCCGTCATTAGAAAGCTCAAAAAGGGGCCATGCCAGCACCATCGGTGTAAATGTCTCCAAAGTGACCACAGCAGCCTTCTCTTGGTGCTTTGTGACAGGGTGGAATTTGTTATTTCGGAGCTTGAGATTAGTTCTCTGTGTGAACTCCACTCCCATTCTGATTCCATATCAAACAGAGAAATGTCAGGACCTGCACTGTGACATTTAAAACCCCCATTGTAGACCTTGTCTAATTGAGCCTCCCTCATTATAATGACGGAGTGTGGGCAGACCAACGAGGGGGGAAAAAACACATCCAAAAAGAACGCTGTAGTTTAGAATTATATACATTTTTTCCTCTGAACACAGCAGCAGATCTGAATATCTCTTTGTCTTCAGTAACATGTTAGTGCTGTCAAATAATGGGGGCATAGTAACGGTCAGCATATTCCAGAAGATAAAGGTAAATCTGGTTAAATAAACATTCTCCAAGATGTCATGCTGCATAAATGATGGGAGCTATAATTGTGATATACGACTCGCTTATATTTCATATTATTCTATATCAGAGAAGTCATCTTTCTTGTAGCAGGATCCACAAAGACCTGATAATGCATTTCTGACATTAACCTGATAATTTTTCACATTTTCCTCACCATTCTGGTCTCTGACAAATGCCTTTTAATTTCTTCCTGAAAACATGTTAGTTCCCATCACACATAAAAGTTCACAGAGGAGATGGAGTACTGAACTGTTCAACTTTGTCATGTTAGAGGCAGATGTGCCCTTCACAGTTTTATGTACATATTTTTGGATTGTCTCTGTGTAATTGTAGGAAGAATGAAGTGTCATTGACATTCTGCTCAGTCCACTGTGGTGAATCTGATGAGGATGTCACATTAAAAATGCATGTTCTTCATACATTCTTTGGCCTTTGTCTTAGACATTTATGACAAATAAGGACGGAGCCGGTGCTACCCGAGGTGGATTCGAAAGGAAACATCGGCATCATCTCTCAGTGTCTGCCTCCCCCACAAAACAGGAACACTTGTCATATGCTTGTTGGTTGGGGAAAAAAAACAAAGTGGGACAAAAAAGTTTCAAGGACTTGCATATTATTCAAAAAAAAGTTAGACATATTATTAAAGTTAGGCAAGAAAATTGTTACAATTTTCCTCAAAAGCTTAAGTAGTACAAAGCCTTTGTAATGTTTTATTGTTTGCAGTGTCCTTGTTGGTATTTGTTTTCTTAAATTGTAATTTTATGTTTTATCGTACTAAACCTATGAGAACAGAAAACAATGGAGAGTGGGCAGAMAGGTAATGGAATGGTTGGTAAGTATACTTTTTTTCCACATGATTTGAACAGCAGTGCACAACCATCAGAACATATGAAGGCCAAGTCTTGTGTTCATGAGTCATCTTCATACTGGAGGTAAAATTAACAAAGAACCAAGTATCACAGGTTAGTGACAAGATAAGATAAGATAAGATAAGATAAGATAAGATAAGATAAGATAAGATAAGATAAGATAAGATAAGATGAGATAAGATGAGATAAGATCACATAAGATAAATCTTTATTGTCATTGCTGCACTGAAATGAACACTGTGGTCCATAGACAACGAACAAGAAAATATGTTTTGCAGTAGAGAGGGGACTGTGAGGAGAGGTTCTCGGACTTTAACTTCCAGGGGGTTCACCTCTCAGAGGACTTAAGCTGGGGCATTAACACCAAGGACCAGGTGAAGAAAGCCCAGCAGAAACTCTACTTTCTGAGGGTCCTTAAGAGGAATAACATCACCCAGAGACTGCTGGTGACCTTCTACCACTGCTCCATTGAAAGTTTCCTGAGCTACTGTCTGTGTGGTTCTCTAGCTGCAGAGATTAATGTAATCTCAAAGAACAATAGTCAAAACTGACATACTATGAACATGTTGCTGCTACTTCATTGAGGTGATGGCATGGTCTAACCTTTAATTCTAGCATATGAGGATGTAAATGGACACAGGTGAGATACAGTGACTCAGATCAGAAAGTGCATTACAGTGGATCAGTCTGCCTCCAGGCCAGCTCCAACAAGAGGTAAAGGGTTGACAAAAAGCCAAAGCAAGTGAGAGCCTAAGACAGGCTGGAATCCTAACATGAGTATTAAGAACATAGCAGTGTTATAAAGGCCTCAACCTTCAAAGACATTATTCAAATTTGCTTTAATCTAGCTATACTCTAATAGGCTGTGAATGGAGTAGTGAGGGGCATCATTCGTTGAGGCCCTAAAATGGTGGATGGTAAACAGATGATAGACAGCTGTGCTGGTAGCAGAAATACTTTTCTGTTATTGGTGGTTAGAAGTGGGAACGTTTGGCCTGGCAGCATTTTCATCATCCAAGACA